GTATGTAAACTTTCTCTTGTTAGCACAAGAACCAACATTAAACGACGTTGCTGTTATAAAAATGAATCCAAATATTGTGCTCGCTCACATAAAGGTTTTCCGATCTCCCCTGTTTAGTAATGACATTCTTGGTATTGGCGGACATTTATGTCTATCTCATGGTAAAAATGTTTCTGACGGTCAAGTTACTATGTGCTTACAAGCATGCTCGTAAATGTTTATTTAGCTTGTTTCAAATAAAAATATATTAAAAAGATCGTTCCATATAATATTAAATTTTATAACCATCGATTTAAATTATAATATCTAAATGCCTAACTAATTTGGTATTCTTTGATAATTGACGTGGCATGTTATTAACATGTTCTAGAATCTCACTTGGTTAGATTCCTTTCATTATTAGATAGAGTAAGGTTGAGGTGAATCTTGAATTTTAATGATAAAACTAACTGATGAGTTTATTAAACTGATATACTTTTAAGATAAGTGACAAAGAAAATATTTTGATCACACAGACCACGAAAAGCCAACTATTAAGTAAGAGAGTAGAACGTTATGTTGAAAAATTATCATGTCAAAAATTAGATATTGAATCAGAGGATTGGTCGACGTGTCAAAAATCGAACTATATGCTAAAGGTTCGAGCATTATGTTAAAAGGATCAAATATTGCATCAGAAGAGAATGTCGTAGAAAAATTGACATATCAATAGAATGAGCATATGTCAAATGAAAGGGCGATGTGTCAAAGGTTGGGATAAGGTATTAGAAGATCGGACGATATGTCAGAATAGTGTATAACCTGTCAAAAGCTTCGTAAACGTGTCGAATATATGGTTGATTTGTAAAAGTCTTGATCGAGATTATTATGAATTAATTTGAGTGGGTATTAGGCTAAAACAATATCAATTTATTAAGAAAGCCATTAGGCTTGAAGTCGAGCCGAATTAGGCTCGTTAGAAGGCCAAAGCGATGGCCTAAACTAGGCTTGGGTGATGGTACTACTAAGCTCAAGCGATAGTACTGCTTGAGTCAACTGTCAAGTACTATTTGTACTTTATCAATATTTCTATAGTATCACCTAGGCCAACGATAGTACCACCAATCCAGATTTATAACATGGTTACAATAATAATACTACCCATTGACGATGGTAATACTACCCGTACCTTTAATTTCAGAGAATTTGAATATTTGGCTTCATTCTTGAAGCCTTTGGGAACTTATGAATACCCCACTTAGACATGGTTGATAGAATATTTAGCTAAGCTAGTGAAGTGTCGTAAGCTCTCATTTTATGTATAGTTTGAGTCTCATTCTCTTTAGTTTGATTGAAATTCTAAATTATAGGATGTGAGATATCTCTTATAAAAAGATAGTATAAAAGTTACCTCCTAAGCATGAAAAGGAAAAAAAATTATAATAAGGATAATTGATCTTCGTTTGTTAGAAAGATGATTGATAGTGAAAACTGATAATCTCGAGAGAAGAGGAATTGAGAGTAGACATAGGTTGAAAAAATTGAACTACTATGCCTCTATTTATTTACTCTTTACATGTGGTTTAGTTTTATTCTCTTTAGTTACAACTTTAACTTAATCTGTCGAGTTTTCATAATATATTGATTTATTGATTGAGTTTTAAAATCGATTAAAAATACTATTGCACTAATTCACAACCCGCCAATGTCATTAAGTTCTTAACAATTGGTATCAAAGTAAGATTCTCTTATTTAGATTAACTTTCGAGAGAGAGTAAATGATATTTTCAAGCAATACTCTATCACATGTCTTCCGATATTCGATGGAATGGATTACACTTTGAAAAACATGAATAAGGATTTTCTTACTTTCTATTAATTTTAATTTATAAAATATTATTAAGTTTGATTTTTTAAAATCTTCTAAATCAATGGAATATTTTTTAAAAGAGAATATTTTCTTTAAATGCTAAAACTATGAATACTTTATTTTGTACTTTAGAGAAAAATGGGTTTAATTGAGTTTCTACTTATGACATTACACATGATATACGACACATACTTGAAGTCACTTACGAAAGCACAAGTAAACTAAAAGAATCTAAGATTAATCTTTAGGTCACAAATCCTATAAACTTTCCAACCTCACTAGTCGAGATAGAAGATATATTACATTTGGAGACAACAACAATAATAAAGAAAAAATTATTGACATTGAAAATATTGATAATAAATCAAATCTTAACTAAAAATGTGCTTTTGGTAGATGACTTGAAATATAACTTAATAAGCATTAGTCAACTTTATGATAAGAAATATGATATTAAATTTGAATTTCATGCTTCCATCATAGAAATATCAAGTAAGAGTAAATCTATGATAATTTTAAGAAGTGATAATATTTATACTATTGATCTTGATGATTTTCTTAATGTAACTTATTTTTCAGTTTTGAATAATGATGTATAACTTTGGCATAAGAGACTAGGACATGTTAGTATAAAATTAATTTCATAAATTAGAACTAAAGAATTTGTATAAAAAATATCTAAAATTAAAGTTATTAAAAATAAATTTTATGATGCATGTCGATTAGAAAAATATATAAGGAATAACTTCAAACCCAAAAACTAAGTAAAGTACCTCTAGATTATTACAAAATTTGTTCCCAAGCTTCTAAAGTCATAACTATTTATTTAGTTCTTTTCAAATAAAAAATATTATTTTAATCATTGTAAAAACATACTTGAGAGATCGTTTTATATTTTTTTATTTTTATAATAATTGATTTACCAAGAGAATCATCATTCTAGCTCAAAATCCAAAGTCATTATCTAAAGATCATGCAATAAAATTTATCAGAGACTCCTAAAGTATCCATCTTCCTAATAGCATTAGGATTCTCAACTCCAAGGTTTGCTAAGATAATCTCACGCTGATTAAGGAAAACAAAAATCTAATTGTAAGGGTAAATCACGAATCTATTGCAGTAAATTTCTGAACTTGTATTAGCTCATGTCAATCCACAGGGGCAAATATTTCTACTCATCTTCTGTAAATTCCTAGATGTGTGTGATGATGGGTGTCAAAATTCTCATTGAAACCCTAATTCTCTCTACAGCCAATGGACCTAAGTACGTCACATATGGAACTACCAAAGCATCAGCAGGAAATAGCGACTGATCTTGATTATATCTAAAGCTTTGTATGTCTGTCCCTCAGTTGATGCAATGTGGCCACATAATGAGTCACACCTCAATCTAGCTAGCTAGATTTAGGCACAAATATAGTGGATCATCAGAACAATATGTGTGACATATCTGGTCCCCGAAGGATCAAACAAAATTCATATGTCAATCTCAATCAATCCTCACATCATACTTCTAACCCAAAGGGAACATCCAAAATCACTAGTGAGCAGCTCCCCCAAAACTCAACAAGAAGCTCTGTACAATTTTTCACACATACAATACAAAATCATCATAAAATACAAAAAGAAACAGCCGAACCGAATGATAGATAAATGAAAGCAAATCTTTACATGAAAAAGGAACTCTCTCGTTGGAGCAGTAGGATTCCCACTGTCACTTCCAAGTATTGCTGCTTCTGCAATCGGGTCGTGCTGCTTGCTTGCAATTTTACCTGATTGATTAGATGCTGCACCAGAGAACTATTTGGACCAACACCCTTTGGTGACCAATGTGATTTGTCGAAAAGATGAGCCTCCGTAATTGCTGATATTAATCAATGGCGTTCATGGAGAAGATGAGCCCTGGCTTTTTGAGACTTCTAATTGGCAGGAGTCTACGAAGGTCCCTTGAATAGCTTCATCAGACTGGTCTTCTGTCTCTGAGGATTCTTAAATACGTACAATAAAATGTGAGGATTCTTAAATAGGTACAATAAATAGGTACAATAAAATGTGAGGATTCTTAAATAGGTACAATAAAATGTCCCTTGAATAGCAAATTACTCCCTGCCTCTAACTAAATACATAAAGTTCCTAATTTGTAAGTTAATAGGTAGCAGCACATAATCAGACAGGAACCTCCTTCAAGGAAAATAATATTTGCTACAATTTAAAGCAGTTTTAGTTCCTAAGTATTTAAGCCCTGTTTGTGAACTATTTAATACAATGTGATGATAGATTCAATGAATGGACCAAAATCATTACTTCCGAGCATTGAGATAGCAAGATTGTTTATATATCATTGTGCCTCTCCAATCATTACATATTGACCAATATAAACATTTCTTTATAATATTTGTCAATGGCTTATGTGTGTAAAAATTAAAAAACATGGTAGGTCTTAGAGTTGAATTTTAGACTTGATTATTCCCTATACACTTTTTCCTGTATAAAGATGTGATGGGAAATCATAAGCCACAGACTCATCATAGACAAGTGTCAGACATTTAAGAAAATGATATGGAAGTCTAGGGGCACTTCGATCTACAGTGAAGGTTCACTAACATGGTCACTGATATCAAAACTTCAGATTCTTTGGCATCTAAACTGTGAAACTGGACTCTGTCACGGTTTGCCCTTTGGGATATAACAAGCAAGAGGTTTCTTTATGAATATTCAGAATATTGGCCCTAAGAAGGGTTTCATTTAAAAGATGAGAAGCCTTATGCACATTCATGTATTCCAAAATTATTGCTTATGGTATTTAAACATCCTGGAATTATTATCTAAATGCCAGAAAATATGTTAAGAAGTAATAAATTATTGATCATTTGTCTTAATGTCTTGTGTGAGAATGCTTGTTCACAGGAAAAAGCTGCAGAAAACCATTACGTTAAAATGTAAGAAGTGAGCTTCAAAATTTTCAAATATAGGCTGTTTCTCCTAGCATTTAATGTTTCTTTCATGTTTCATCATCTTATACTTCAAAAATAAAGCTGGATAGATATTTATCTAAATGTTAGCAATGGATATGTAACCATGAAACAAGCTATAGTGTATGATGTGGCAGATGGTGGCCAAAGTTCTAGTCACAGAGCATTTTACTAGAATACAGAAATAGCATTTTAAAAAGAGTGTCAAATAAGAAGTGAAATTTTATTCTCTAAACAAGCAACAAGCATGAGAGCCATAATCCTTTTCAAGGGAAAATAGGATTACCAAAGAGTGATTTGATACTTGGCCTCTTCAGTTTATCCTTCTTCTTCAACTCAGCTACAAGGGACATGAGATGACAGGTCAGAAGCATGTAAGCACAAGTATGTTGCTTAAGAACATTATAGAAATTCTTTTGTAACAAAGTATATTCAAGGATGAAAATATCTATCCTAGTATGACATGATTCGTGACTAGTAACACAATACATAATGGTTAATAGTTTATTCTATAAATGTTATGACTTGGGACTATGAAGTATGAATACATTATGTTATCCAAAAATGTGGCAATGCCATGATTCATGACTGAGTGCTGATAGGACATCCTCTGACTACTCACTAGATGCAGAAACACACTCAGCCAGAAAATGTCCTCTCTCTGACTGTTTTCTATCCATCAGATGCTGTTTTCAAGCCCCCTTTTGCCTCTATTCGAGCCCTCTATGAGCTTCATTTGACTCATCTTTGTGCTATCATTTGCTACTCACTTGAGACATCCCTTAAGCTTCCATTTACCATTCACTTGAAATATTCTTTAGCTCCAACTAGCATATCACAAGCTTTAGCATTGATACTATGGATTCTCTATCGTCTTGTAGGTGTGCTTGTTTTGAGAGCATTTTATTTTTATTTCTTGTGTCTTTTGAGGGTTTAGAGGTGTTATTTCCTGGCCTTTACAAGTTATAAGAAAGTAAAGTCCTTGGCCTCAAAAATAACTGTTGTAAGGTTCTCTCTTAACTCGAGAAAATAAATTACATGAGTGGTTTGATCTTCATGGCAGAAGAGGACCAAGCAGTGGAACTGGTGACCTCAAGGAGTCAGCATGCCTAGGAGTGTATCTAGGCTGACTAAACTACTATACCTCCTCAAGTCTTATTCTCTTCTCTTCACTACTCTATTTATATTGCTTATTTGTTTGTTTGGAATTACTACTAACCGGCTTGATCTATAAATTTGCTCATTAGCTTTCCACCAAAATATCAAAACTGTTTAATTGCTTGCTTAATGGAAACTAGCTTGATAGTAGTTTAGCATTATTTTGTTTCATTTAATTGATGTTTACTAATTATATGCAATTCATATTTGTTTTATGTGTTTTCTTGCAAGAAATAAATTATTTATAAAAAATTAGCTCCATGTATGAAAGTAGGTTAAACCCTAACTACGTCTGTGAAGGCTTAGAATGAGACCCATCTAAAAGAAATATGTATCCTACTCTTTACTAAGGAACGAGGCCATTCTAAAGAAATACTAGAATAGTTTGGCAAGCAGGATCTTCCACAAGAAATGCACTTTGAAGGGCGGGCGTCGGCAACATTATTACACACAAGGATTAAAATTCCAGTCATACAAATATTTACTAGTTTGACCTCAGACCAATATGCAGACTGACTCTTACTGCACAGTACCAATTAGTTCCAAGCATACCACTCAACGAACCAAGAAAGTCAAGCTCAGGGTTATTTTAAGCAGTAAGGCAACCTACCAAGTTGGTAAGCCTACCTCTTGCTACCATTATCCCTCTCGCTCATTTTCATCGCAAACACCCTTAGGGTCCCTTCTTTCTTGATATTTGTAAATTTGGATAAAAATAACACCAAATCAGCGAAACAACTTAATGAAGCTTAACATTCTTCTCCAAATAATGGCAATTTTGGAGTTATTTCTCTGGTTTGGTGCTTATTTTGCTTTTAAATGGCATGTTCAACTATTAATTCATGCTTACTTTTCATGCTTATGTGTCATTTATTTTAATGTTTAATTTTTTATTTGCATTTCTTATTCATTGAGGTTGATCTACTTGCTTGTAGTGTAGATCTACTTAAATATAAATCAGTTTTGTGCGGACCTAACCTAGATTTCTATGGATCTTGGCTAGATACACATAGATCTAAGCTAGATACTCATAGATCTGAGCTAGATTTGTGTGGATTCAGTCAAGATTCACATAGATCTAGATTAGGTCCTTCTAGATTTGACATAGATTTAATCATAACTGATTCGGCCTAGATGACTAGATCACCTAAGATCCGACCACTATTAATGTCATTGGGGTAAATATCATTCATAAATTATACAAAACTACAATCTTGACCTTCAGCCATAACCACCTTTCAAGGGCTACCACTAATATGATCCAATATATTGACATGCAATCAGACTTACTGTTATTAACATCTGTATGTTCCTTATTTATAATTTTTGTATTTTTAGATATTTAATTATGTTTTTGTGGTATATCAATTATACTACATCTCTTAACAGTATGGATAAAGACATAATTATGGAAAAAAATGCAATAAAACCAGTGATCAAACTGGTCTGATGTATCGAAATGTATTAAGGCACTCTAACATAGAATGGGTCAGTACCAGTATTGCACCAGTCCAACCAAGGAATGACATTGGTACCAGACCAAGATCAAAAGCCTTGTTTCCACTGTCTTTCTGTCAACTCCTACTGTGAGAGTACATTGATAATATAGATTGGGGATCAAGAAGAAAAGTAAAGAAAATAAAGAAGGATCCAACACTTGTTTTTGCTATGCTTAGGTTAGGTTTTATTTGTTAGTAAGGATAGTGGTTGACATCCAAATATGTATGGTCAGCTATTTTGGGTAATATGTGCCATCTTCGTGATGGAGAGCTATTGACTGCTTATGATACTAACAATGACTTTGGAAAAAAAACAAAAAGACAATGAGTCGAAGGAGGCAAGTACTTTGCTTCACTTGTGCTTGAAGACATATGAGTCTAAAGGACCCTGGCATGAGGCCATTATATGGTTTGGATGAGTTTAAAATAATTCAATCTCTTTCTCATCTTTTTATATATTACTTTCGCTTTTTTCCATTATACAATTCTGCAACCATCATTTCTCATCTGCATTTTGCAAGACACAACCAGTGGACATTGTCTTAGCAGTCAAACCCTAACCAGTTAAACCCAAAAATTAGATATCTATTCAAACTTGAACGCTACTGTAATAATCAATATGCCACCCTATGGCCTTTTAAACATAACCAAATGTCTAACTCAAAATTACATATATATCACCTATTCCAACAAAAAATCGGTTTAATAAGTGTCTTTCCATGTCAAGACTACTCAAATCATCTAAAACAAGAAACAAATGGCAGACTATATTCACGAATAGTGTTAATTCCCTATTTTTAAAAAGAGTGCAAATTCACTTTGGATTTCCTTTATAAGGAAATCCAGACCAGACAGAATCCTAATCAAGACTAGGAGGTCATATAATCCCAGGACACAACTAATATTAAAAAGCAAGTACAACCCCCTTGGCACCTAATTGAATTCCATGAGAACACCCAACTTGTACCAAATCAAATATCCGATCAACAATTATAAGTGAGACATGTTGTAATGTACCAAGTATTGATACTATGCCCAATAAAGACTCAAGTTGACTTGATAAAGGTTCTAATAGGCACATGTAACTGCATTTTACCTAGCATCATAGAGCAAGTACGAAAGGTCTTGTAGTCAAATAAAAAGGTATAATTTGAAAACCATCAAATGGTAGACATGATTCCACCATAAAACCTTCATCCACATTTGAGCATTTGATGCCATAGGCTATTAGTTTTCTAACTAGTCACAACTGTCTAGCACATACAGATGTCAAACAACCCTTTATTTTAAAGTGTGAGCATAATATCCATTTAAAGGAATAGCAACATAGACTACAGCATAGCATTATTTTCCTCCTCATTTTTGTGAGGATTCCAGCTGCCTTGATCCTATGTCAGTTGGTATTTTTCAAAACTACAGCTAAAGAACAGCAGCGGTACATAATGCAACTCACAGTATAAAATTATAGGGGGAACTGAACAAACAAAAATATCTTCCTAGGGGTGGGATAGGTGATGTATGCACCAAGAATATTTTGTCTTTATAGCCAAAAAGGAAAAGACAAAGGAAGAATATTATACCTATCCCAGGCACTACATGATCATTAACTATTTCAAAGTTCTTATATGTGTAGCCCATGAAATTCAAATCCTTGGATGAAAGCATCTGCAAGGGTAGACAAGGAAGCCATCACAATAATTACTTGTAAATAATCAAAGCAGATAACAAAGTGAAAAAAAAAACGCACGAAATGATTCTATCTACAGTGACATCACTCATCAGAAGAACAGTTTCACAAACTGCTACAAGAAGCAGGTTCTTGTAGATCAGCTACAATTGGTCATCGCAGCTAAGATGTCACACATTAACCTAGGCTGATTGCTGAATTTGAGAGACTGAAAGTCTCAAGCATGGTTTTGGCCAATCCAAATGAGATCAAAAAATTTTATAGCCTCACTCTTAGATTCTTACATGCACGACCAAAAGAAGAAAATTGAGCCTTCCCTACTCACTTACCTGATGCATATAAGAGTTGTAATAATGTATTATTAATATGAAAGAAGCAAGCATTGAATTGCCATAAACTAGGGATTTCAACCAGTGCCACCCCAATTCTTGGCCCGACCAATATGTATTGCATGCCAAGGACTCAAGTATTGGGCCATCTCGAGCCATTAGCTTGTTAATGCTAAATCTAGGGGTGTTAGATGTAATATATAAGAAGTTTTGATATGGTTTCAAATGTTTCAGTATAATTTTAAGAGTTTTATATGTGTTTTGGGCAACACCAATGGACCATGTTTTTACCTATAGGGTAAGGATTTACATTTCAAGCCCATATCAAGCATACTGATTAATATCAAAAACAATATTGGTCAAAAGACTCAAAACCCTCTTCTCAGTAGCACTTCTATTTCATCTTGCAGACATATGGAGCGGCAAGGACAGCTAGCAACAGAGACAAATTGAATGACATAATGGGAAAGAATAAATATAAAAAATAAATAACATTTTGAAGGTAAGTTAGTGTAAAGCTAAAAATCTAAAGAAAGCCACAGTTACCTTTTGTAGAGGGATCTCAACAATCACCTAGAGCAATGGTGTTTAATGGAAATTTTGACTCATCAATTGCAGGTCATTATGACTATCAATTGAGGCGATTATAATTCTATAAGAAAACTACCAACAAGAAATAAGATGATCTAGAGGGCCCACGACTATGAGGCTAGGGCTGCAAGTTGGAGGGGTTACCCCAAAAATTATTGAAATCCATTTTCAAAAGGCTTGGGCTAGGTTTTACAAGCTTGGGTGAGGCTGGGCTACAATTACTTAACCCTACTTATTTTGAATTGGGCCTTGATTGAGGTTTTTGGCAATTTGAGGCAACCCCTGTTTCCATTTTAATTTAACAAGTCCATAATGTAAAATATTGTATATATAGTTATTCAGTCAAAACTTAAAATAGCTTCCCACCATAGCATCACCTTCCTCTTGACAGCCCTGTCCGCACCCTCTTCTATGACAATTCACCGGCTTTCCTACCACCTCCATGAATTCTTGCATCTCTCGTGCTTCCATGATCTCTCTTTTGTTTCCTTCTTTCTCTATTTCCCACAAACACTCTAGAAAATCATACACTTGAGCATTTTATCAAACTCTTATTCACAGCTTGGGATATTGAAAGGATGCTTGTTTCCACTTTGTTATATTAGATCTATTAAGCATTTGTAGAATGAGTGGAGCAATGATAATGAAACTTATGAGAAGCTTCAATTTTTTTAATCAATGCCAGGCTTTTGTTGAAGTTGTATAGAGGTAGAGCATCTTCTACCAATCAATCGCCATTTATTAAGCTTATTTGTTGAATGACTTGAAACCATTTTCCTTTCACAACCTGGAATAACTTCTGAAACTATGAGCAATTTATCAACTATGACATGTTTTTTTTTTTAATTTCTTGGTGCATTGAACGCCTAGATCTTTCCCTTCTATTGGGTTCCCTTCCTCTCTTAGGAGACCCGATTAACCCGAGGCCCAACCCAGCCCATCCTTAAATTGATCTTGGATTGGAGTTAGGCTGGGTCGAGTTAGATTATAGGCTGACCAAAATGATCTAAGCTTGGTTTACACGAACTGATTTTAACTGAGTTGCATCCATACTTGAGACCATTGAAGGGATGGTCAAGACCAAAGCGACAGGTGGCCAACAGGATGTGGTTTGCAATGAAAAATTTAAAAAGTGTTGGTGGGTCCTAAGCATCATGCTTCAAACGTCAGGGAGAGAAAAACAGGGAGCTATAGTCTTTAGAAATAAAAAATAGGAGAAAGAAAAGATTGTGTTAATATAATGTACCTATCTTTCAGCTAGTCCAAAATCAAATTTGATCAACATCCCGATCAGCAGATACAAGGTGTTCTGCGACCTTCTACACCAGTATGTCATAGGCAACATGTTTATTGCAAAACAGTGTACCATTTCTTGCCACCAACAAGTCAGAATAGAAGACCAACAAGTGCCATGGCAAGATTGATATGCTGGTCAGAAGAGTTCAAGAATGATTGCATTATTTTGTGGCTGTGCAATCCATGTGCTTGTTTTTTGATACACTATTGTAACACTAAAAGTCACCAAGATGGCGATCCTCGTAATGCACAGATAGACAAACACACATATATATACCAGACTCAAAAGAATGGAAATCTATGGAGATGCCCAAATATGTTATAAAGTCAAAAGAATGCATCTATAAAGAAGTCTATAAGTATGCTGTATGCATCTTAAATAATGAAGATGCAAAGTAACATGATGCAACAGAGATTCAAGTAAACACTATTGTTACAATAAAAAAAATGCTAGAAATGATAGTCCAAACTTTTGAAAAAAAAAGTCATAGTGACCTTTCTCCAAGGGCCTGACTTAGATGAATTCTGAATTTGCTCACCAGACTGCAAGACATTGACAGGGAAAGAATGCATATTAAATTTATAAGGTAAAACAAATAAAAGAATCTTGACAACCAATGATACCTCTTCAAACTTCTCAAAGTTTTGGGTATCCAACTCATCCTTCACCTCTGGTATAAATGCAGCCTCCATTTGATAAAGTTTGTCCCATTCAGTGCCCATAAACCAAGGGTGCACCTGAAGCAGTACTACTATTAGTATATATACCGTTGCTATGGAGTCCTTTAAATTTTTCTAGAACTTGAAAAACACATAAGAAACAACCTTTATTTCATCAGCACCTTTTGTGCCAAGCCGTTGTTCAACATTGCACAAGAGTTTACTGATTAGATCTTTTGCATCAGCAGATAGTTTTGCTTCATCAGGAAACTTCAGGTGTGTTCGCCAATTAACTATCTATATAAATTAACCAAAAAGGGAAAGGGAAAAGACTGAAGTTACAAAAAGAAAATATGATAATGACAAATCAGTAAAGAGATCCTATATGCAATGCATCTTTCAGATTACTTTACAGGATACAACAGCAACTTAGAAAAGGAAATATAGACTTCAAAGTTCAAACATTAAAAGCTGCGAAAGTAAAATGAAAGAAACTAGTAACCAAGGCTAGCTCTATTTAGTTACTGGCTTAGTAGAAATTTTGAATAAATTCACCAGGCAAAAGAATATCCATAATGATCAAGGCTCCAACGTGATTAGGAGACAATAATAATTAGATACATATCTTAAAAAGATGGTTCTTCCATGCCAAAATAAAACTGGATTTATGTGAGTCGATGACTAACTGTACGAATTCAGAAATCACTACAAATGTCAAATAGTGTTTTATAAATATGCGGTGGAACAAAACAATGAGATGTACATTTGACTAGTTGATTTAATGACATAAACATTAACAAACAATAAATATTCCATGGCCAGTATGCTTTGTATGTTGTAGAAGAGGTCTAAAAAATTGGCATTACCTTCCTGCATGTTGCCATAGGTTCGTCAGAATAAAATGGAGGATAACCTACAAGCATTTCAAACATGATGGCTCCAAGCGACCACCTACATAAAGATAAGAAAACATATTATAAAGCACAAGAATTCCATTACCTGAGATGCATTATGAATTGGTTTATAATGCCAAAAAAGAAAAAGTCTTACCAGTCGCATTCCATGCCATAACCTTTCTTCAGTAGAACTTCTGGAGCAATATAGTCAGGTGTACCAACAGTAGAGTATGCCTGAAGATGTCCAATAGCAACATCAGAGAAGTCAGATCCTAGATACCCGCAAACTTGTAGAACTGTAACTTAGCAGCATTTAATAGTACGTTTGTACATAAAAGTAAGCATATTTGTCCTACTCAGTAATGTTGACATGAGAGTATTATCTTGGTAGCTGGCACAACCACCAGGTTTCTCCTTTGCGACCTGGGGAATCAGTTATCACAAAAACATCCTCTCTACTTAAAGAGGCAAGACTACATAATGATGACAACCTCATGCACTAGTTTTGCCCTTTTTGTAACATTGGCATGATTTCTTTGTCAGTGACAACTCATCCTCAATGACCCAATCACTATTTGAGTTGCAATTCACCATAATGCAAAATGAATATAATATTTGTGGTTTCTAGTGTAACCTACAAACTCCAATAATTTACCTCTATCTTCAAAAGACTTATATATCACAACATATGCATATGGTAATAAGACTTTCCCTCTATATAAGGCAAACTCCAAATTTGCCTTTATTCATTTACACATATATGTATTTACCTCCATGTTTGGTCAATAGTAGAGGAATCTCCCTCTCTCTCCCCTTGTAATATATACATCTCTCGAAAGGGTGTATATGCGATCCAAAACCAACATCTAGTTATTGCATTGAGAATTTGAGATAATAATGCAAGGCCCCAAAGTGAATATGCAAAACAAACGGAGTTTTGCGGGATCAATAATTTACAAAGTCTATAATCTTAAATTTTTGGAAAGGGTTATTTCAAGCAATAGCTCAACCACTTCCAGCCTTGCAAAAGTAAAGAAGAAAACAACTAATTCAAGTTATGTAAACCGCCACATTAAAAATTACAAATTTATGCTATCTTTGTTATAGAAGATTGATCTAAGATGGACCTATGAGAAAATAGAGAGAGAAATACAAGACAATTTAATTTCTTTCGAACAAACAATTACACCGAACTGTCATTAAAAGAAACTCCATCCATTCAAGTGTTACATAATATGCACATTAGACTCTCACAACAAGGTTGGACTTCTGACATCTTGACTGCATATTTTTGTGCCTTAACCACTCAGATATCTTGATTGACCTGACATTAGAGGCCATCCAACAACAAACACCAGATAGAAAAAGGAAAAAAACTGCAACAAAAAGACCGAGATATAGACTGAAATATATCAAGGTCAAAACAGGTCAAACATATGAACCCAAGAACCACTCAATGGTTCAGATCCAAATAAGTAGTCAATATTTCATGCAAGCACTATTGTAGAGCAAACAATGGATGCTTGTTGATGTGGTACCAAAATGATTTTGCAGAAATATAAAGAAATCTAAGATATGCTGCAACTTGCTTGGTCCTGTCTCAGCTACTGTGTATTTTTTTCCTTAATTATTATAGTTAACAAAACTGCTTAGCCTCTGAAGATTCTCTGTGAGAAGCACCAAGCAAAGAATTTGTCAATTGAAGCCAAATTATATATTGATTGGGAAGTTTTTGCATGAGTTGAAACATATAATGCTGAAAAGATATTGATACCCACTATGCCAATCCATGCCAAAGATACGGCTTCATCTTATGGAAATTTTGAAATGCCAGTTAGAACCAGTACTGAGGGTCGTGATATATGGCTACGGAAACTTTGGCTTAGTGTTGGGCAACACGTGTGTGCCGATCAACATAACAGAATCATACCATGTCAAAAAGGCATGAGTATGCTCTGTTCCATGATATCCCAATCCTTGCATGAGTCTAAAAATAATTACAATGAAAAGTGAAAACATCAAGAAAGAGAGGTTGTTGCATCCCAACTTTCCAAGAACAAGAGGAGATTGTGTCTTGGATGCAACAGGAAGAAAGTACAGCACAAAATTCTGCAGTTCAACCATTTGTCCCTATAATGTTAGAAGAAGATCCTATATTTGCTTTTAGATATTCATAACATCTTCTTTTTCTATAATATAATTCTAAGTTCTAACATGATGTTTTCAACTTATACTTATCTAGATTTCTAGTGGAAATATAATTTGCACCATTATTTTTATTTTATTAATAAACATGAATACTGTAAATTGACCAGCATGTTCTAATGGAATTGACAATAAACCGATGAATTAAAGGGATAATCCATAAAATACATTATGTAATACTTTCATGGCACAAAAGCCATGAAAGCATTAAGATCCAACTAGCTATAGATGAAAATAAAATAAAACCATCAAAGCATTACAGGTACAAATTTATAGTAATTTTATGTTGTGACTCAAATGTCATTGCGTTTTATCTTTAATATGTATTTATAAGTAGCTCACCAATGTCCTTCTATTCCTTTGCCAGTGCTCTAGTTGTTCCTGTTGTGTCCTCTTTGGTGCAGATGAACGTTCATCAGAGTGGGAAGACCCGCCAGAGTTCCTTCCACTAGTAATATCCTTTTCTTGCAAATTTGGAAAATTACTGCAATCCAGTGGCTTACATAATCCAAAATCTGAAAGCTTCAGGTGACCAAATTTGTCGAGTAACAAATTGTCAGGCTTTATATCCCTAATGAGCAAAACAGAGTGTTACAGCTTCTAAATATTGATGAGAGAAGATGACAATCCCAAGGCATGTTCAAATGTATTCCACAAACCTGTGAATATAATTGTGTTTGTGGATGGATTCAATAGCCAAAACTGCTTCACCAATATAGAATCTGGCCTCATCCTCATTCAGTGTATCCTTTCGCATAAGCAATGTCATCACGTCGCCACCAGGTAGGTATTCCATGATAAGATATAGGTATTCATTGTCTTGAAAGGAACAGTATAGCTTCACTATGCAATTGCTGTCAACCTCTGCAAGAAGATTCCTTTCAGCTTTAACATGCTCAACCTGTCCTCGACGTAGCATCTCTGATTTTTTAAGCTTCTTCATTGCATATACATTACCAGTTTCTTTCTCCCTACAGACCCTGACCTGCAGGATGACACTCATATGAGCTGCTACGATGATATTAATAAATAATATCATTTACATGAGCTGCTATACAGATATTTCTTATACCTTTCAACTTATGATAGCTAATTTATGCATGAAGTTGAGTACAGTAGAGAATGGTTACTAAAGGATATGATTTTTATGAATAAGAAAAGTAACGAATTAAGCAAGAAAACGTGGAAGAAGCAAAAATGTAAAACTATGTCACAAATGATGCAAGCCTCAGTGCCTCAAAAATACATGCATGCAGCAAGCAGAATTTACTTTGACTAGACTTGGACACAATAGATGCTTGCATCAGGAGATTCAAGCAATGAACTGCATTTTCTACTGACTATTTGCAAAAAGCTTATACTTAAAGAGGATTCCCACTTAAAGCATAAAAATATATTTTTACAACATATATACATCCATACTGCAATGGAACATTTTCATAAATTTGGAAAACAGATGTATAAATAGAAAATTATTGTTGTTCAAAGTGGGAGTGTTTGAGCGAACTCTTAAAAGCACGTAGAGCTCTTTAGATAATTATACCTCCCCAAAAGCGCCTTTTCCTATCATCGTAAGTAATTCAAAATCATCAACTCCCATTCTATGCCTTTGAAGGCGCATGTATTCTGTCTCTTTCTTCTCCAAATACTTAAGAATATTGTGTTGATCTTCTTCAGAAACATCAGCATCAGCTAGTTTCCTCTCCAGATTATGACGCCTGTTAAAAAGAAGTATTGAGTAACAGTTACCATACAGTTCAGGAATAAAATTTTTATCAATATGTACCTTGTCCTAAACATACATGCATGAATACAGTCATGCAATTCTATATTGGCCTTAGTAAAACCATCCAAGCATTGATGTTCTATCCATGGTTCGCCTTACCAGTTCATACTAGTATACCAATCAAGCATCAATACAGTATGTACCGAGTCATACCGACGTACTAACACATAATATGGTGGGGCATACTGATGTACCAATATGTACCACCCATACTAGTCCCCTATTGGACCGGTATATACTGCTCGGTAATATGTACCACCTGTACCGATCCCCTGTCAGACTGGTACATACTGCCCATATCGAGCGGTATGCTGTGGTATGATGAATCTTGGTTCTACTAGTATCCTATACAATTTGACTCAAGGTGTATCAAGTGCCATGTGATTAAATTTATCAATATTTTTTCACTTAAAATTTGCTTAAGCGGTTCGGTACTTGCAACATAAGTTCTCTTTCAAGCTAATTAATTGATCAAAACATTGTCAAAATATCAAAGTGAAAGGAGGAAATGATAATGCACACTCCTGCAAAAAAAGCAACAAACTCAATCATAGTATCAACTATCAACAATATTTGGCTGCTTGGACCTTTGAGCTTCTCCAACAGATGACAAAAATGATGTGACATGTATGAACCCATGATGTGGCATGACTATTGTCAAAAAATCATTTTGAGTTCAAAAAATTGAGATCTTAAAAGGTCCATTCAATGATTTTATCATAAGAAAGGTGCTACAACACCATTTTGATTCCAAATTCACTAAACAAACCCAGACATGATAATAAGTCAGAGACACAACATCTATCTTGACCTTAATGGTGATACAACCATCAAATTGAAACAATTGATATGTTTATATTGTTATCTAAAGATTGCAATGGAACTACTAAACCAAGAAAAGACTCCTTTGATGACTGGGATATGCCATCAACTGATCCCTTGGAATGTTATTTCTTGCCTGCCAACCAGGTCATCAACTAAACCATTAACATAGCGTCTCCACTGGCAAGGTGATGCAGACAAGGGAAGAGATTTGGTCAATACTTTGCCCAGGAAGTTTCAATTTGGTGTTGAATGTCCAATCAAAGAGATAGACAAGTCCATGTATCATTCAGGAAAATTTTGAGTTCATGAGTTTAATATACAAGTCATCAACCTACCAAACAAGAGATACATTCAGGAAATTGAGTCGATTTATCATTCCAATGTTACTAAATCCAAAGAAAAGACGAAGCTTGATGAATGTTTCTTTTTTTTATTAAGCTCGATGAATGTTATGAATAAGCAAGCTATTAACTGAATCACCATCAAGTCAAAAATTTCTTATTTCTATAGTGGATGACAAGTTCAACAAGTTCATTGCTGCTCAAATATTCTATAAAATTAATCTTAGAAGTGGCTAGCACAATATCAAAATCAAAGTAGGTGACAAATGGCAGTCAGCTTTTAAGACATGGAGGTTACTATAAATGGTCAGTCTTGTCATGTGGACTCTCAAATGTCCTAAGACAACTATGTGGATGATGAATCAAGATATTCTTCATTTTACTATAAAGTTCTATATGTGTGCATTTACAATATACTTTTTTGTAGCTGTAACAAAATTGTAATGGTGAAACTTTAAGAGCTGTCCTGACAACTTTGAGATGGGAAAAAGCTCAATGTAAATCATGACAACTGCTCTTTTCTGACCTCTGGCATACCTTTCAGGCTTTGCCTTAAAAGTATTTAAGTGGATGCAAAAAAGATTGCAGTGATCCAAATTTGGCAAACACCAAAGTCCTTACAAAATTTCAGGAGTTTTCATGAATTGACATCATGTTATTACCAATTCTTATGGAACTTCAACAGTATTGCAATCCTTCTGACTGATTACATGTAAAAAGGAGAGCTAGATGGACGCATGAGGCAGAGAATTAGCTTTCAAATAATGAACCTGTGGTTACCAGTAGACCTGTTCTTGCACTTCTAGATTATGATAAAATATTTGAAGTTAGTTCAATGTCTCTTATGTGGATTGTTATAGCACTTTTGCTAAAAGGACATCCAATTCTCAGTCTTAAATATCAATGACAATAATAATGATAGGACTTACGGCTTTACTCACTTCTCTCCTTATGATGCTAGTTTCATTCACAATCTCTTACATTCTCATAATCTCACTTCAATTTCATATATTTAATTAACTTTTAGCTATTTGTTGCTTTAATTTATAAAATGCATTAGATTGATGATGGATGCTAGATCAGAGTTGAGAATGGGTTTGCACCATATAAACTGCTTTTGTGTGAAAAACAGCAGTTGGCTCCCATGGTGCAGTTTCTCCTGGAGAAACTTCATTCTTATTCAGGTTGTCCACACCAGCAGAAAACTCATGGGGTAGCAAAATAGAATAGATCTATGCGACTCTAATCCACTGCTGGAAATGATTTTACTCAGTATTTCACATATCGAACATTGACCACCATTCTTCAGCATTGATGGAAAGCTGGTCATGGATTTGGTTTCTCCTGGCTATTTTTCCTAAAAATTATATGACAAATTCTAAATACCCATAAGAGCAGATAAAATTTAGGAAAATATATATTTATTTAGCTCCATTATTGAAACAAAAGAAAGTAGGAAGCAAAATAATAATAACAATAACAATGGAGAGGAGAGAAGTTTTTTTCTTTTTAAGCCATACCGTTCCCTGCGTTCTTGCAAATTTTTCATTTGCTCTTTATAGTGATTTTCTATGTATTGCTTAGCAGCTGCCACCCTTTGCTTTGTCGCATCAGAAGGTGTTTCTTCAGTACCATCCATTCCGTGTAATCCCAATTCATTCTTCTTAGATGCAATCTTCTCTTTAGTCTGTAATTTCTGAAACCAAGTCCTGGCTGAATCCATCAGTATCCGCTAGATATCACTACAACGTCAAAACCAGGATCACTGTTCACCTGCATATAGATCCTGATCAACCTTGCATCAAAAAGATATGATGATAGAAATCTTATACAGAAATCAGTGCTACTTATTGAACAACACTTAAATATCTACGAATTGCCTAATTGCATTGAGGTTCTCCTTTTTCTCCAACAAGATGCTAGGCGGTACTTTCCGAACAAACAATTGCACTAACATAACTCTTTTCATGTACTCTTCTCTCGATTATGACATATTAAAAGACATAAAAGTTTTGAGTTTTGAGATAATATACTAACCAACCACAAGGAACCAAGATCTCAAAAGGTACAATTGGAACGTAAAGGACCAGCCTTTAAGAAGAAGCCGCAACCCAAAAAATCCAGAGACGACAGCTAATCCAATCGGAACCGCGTCCGCGACCAACCCAACTCACCAAACGCAATACACCGACATTCTTCAGAGCACGGAAACCAAAGCACCAATCCAAAAAATTCGAAAGCGGAGCAGAACATCCTACGTACCGAGAGGAGAGAAGAAGATACGGGTGTAAAAGGGAGATGGGGCAGGGAATAGAAATGGTGGGGTTGGAGGGGAGGGAATCCCTGTAAGATGAGAGCTGGAGTACTCGGATTACGGCCGGAGAGATCGGTCGATGAAATGGGGATGATCTAATATTAACCCTAGAGTTAATTAGGAAGAAGAAAGAGGGAGGAGGAGCGGAGACCGCGGATTCCGATTCATTCGAAGCCGAAGTAACGGCCACTTTGTCTTATTTCCTTGGAGGCAGTACGTATGTTCCTTTTATAGTAATTAAAATGCAAAAAATTATATATATATATATATATATATATATATATTCTTCAAATTATCCTTAAAATTAACTTAGGATGTATATATGCATTCACATTGAGACTATGATTAATGTTAATATCCTTCAAAACTATTGTTTACGTATCATTTTTAAGTACTAATTTTTGTATTTGTCTCTTAAAATTGAAGTTTAAGAAATTGGAAACTAAATAATTAATGATAGTCTCAGAAACATTTTAAATATTTAATTTTTTTCCCAAACGTTGGATGCTAAATAGAGTTGTATATATAGAAGATTTAAACATTTGAACGAATATATAATATCTAAATATTTAAATAGATTTATAAGTATATCAAAAGAAGGAGGGGGGCAGATTTACTATTTGTGAAATCACCTACGATATGAAATCCAATAATAAAATTTAGGAACATAACAAAAGCCTTCAAGACTACACACATGAATACGTGTGTCTCCCAATTGGGTTTAATTCGATTGTAGCTATCAAAAATTTTATATGCATGTAAACCCAACAATCTGATAAGAAAAGAATATATCGAAGAAAAAAATATCTCGAAGAAATAGGTACAACCTGATTGTACCTATTTAACTTCAATTATTCTTACGTCGTTAAATTCGTCAACGAAAACAATCGTAAGTGTTATCAAGTGAAAAAAAAAACACAAATAAAAAAGATAAAAATATAATTTTATTTTTCTTTTAAATTATTAATTTTATATAAATTTTATCGATTTCCTTATCGCACCTTCCTAGGAGTATGTGAAATTAATAATTAAATTAAATAATTTAATTATTAAATTTTTTTAGCCTATCACACCTTCCTACTCGTCACTTGCCCATTCTTTCCTCTAGGAGCTCATCGATTTGAACATGTGCAACGAGCAAGCAAGTACAACGAAGTGAGACTACGTACATACAATGGCCTACTAGGCAAATACGACTCGGTGCTACTATTTGGTGATCGTTTCCACGACGACGTCTCATTCCGCTGTTGATAATAATCTCAATTTTTTAAAAAACTTAAATTATATATGTTATTATATTAATATTTTATTATAAATCAACATGTCACATAAATAAACTCTAACGTCTATTAACTTAGACTTGATATAAAAATTTTATATATTATATTATTTTAAATATATAAATTATTTTAGATTAAAAAACTATAAAAATTAAAACAATCCATAACCAAAACTATAAATGCTAAAATATACCTTAATTATTTTTTAAAATTTAAATTATACGTGTTATTATGTTAATGATTTATTATGAATTAACATACCATATAAACAAACTCTAACATATATTAACTCAAATTTGATGAAAAATACTTATACACTATATTTTTTTTCAAATGTATAAATTATTTTAAATGTAAATAAACTATAAAAATTTAAGTGATCCAAAATCACATGAACTAAAATAGACTTTAACCCAAAACTTAATTCTACCTATTCCACCCTTCAAATCCATCATTACCTCCACGAATCAAAAGAGATCAGTACAAAAGATTTTAGATATTAATGGGACTCTAAAAAAAAAAGTGATTGCATCTAATCACAAAACAAATAAGGAAACACAAACTCTAATTGTCATCAAATAAAATAAAGAACAGGTAGGAAGAAACCATCCATATATAACAAATCCAAGATGCCTTTTTGTGGGTTCTTAGTCCCACCTTTAACTCTTTGGCTTAGATCGTTCATAATAATTGTAAAAGCAAACTCTTTCTTATGTATAACAAGCATAACACAAAAGGGAAATAATGCAATGGCATCCATACAAATAAAGCTACTACCAACCACGATGATATCGCATGCCATACAGGCACAATCTGCAACACATTTACATTGGCAACAGCTTCTTGACACTTCCATAAACAAAATTGGCACTAATTATATGATTCTACTTGCAGAACTTCCAGATAACTCATTTTTATAAGAAGAGAAGCTCCAATGACCAAATCATCCAACTGAAATGAATGACACACCATTTTGGTGAGCCCCGGGCAATCAGATTTAAAACGAGTCATTTGCCATACTGGCACAATCTGCAACACATTTACATTGGCAACAGCTTCTTTACACTTCCATAAACAAAATTGGCACTAATTATATGATTCTACTTGCAGAACTTCCAGATAACTCATTTTTATAAGAAGAGAAGCTCCAATGACCAAATCATCCAACTGAAATGAATGATACACCATTTTGGTGAGCCCCGGGCAATCAGATTTAAAACTAGTCGTTTGCATAGCCACAAGTCTTTACCTGTGTAATCAAACTATTTAATAAAATGGACTACAAAAAAATGAGAATTCGCTGTGCTTTATAATTCCAATAGCTGAAAGAAATCAGTTTATGAATATATAAACAAGCATAAAGGACTTAAAAGCTGGCATACTATTATCTCATCTGAAAAGAGTAACTTGTTATGGAGTCTTTCACGGAAATGCTGAGAAAGTTTCACACGGTCATCAAAGTGAATGATAAACCACTTATATATATCCATTGCTTCCAATTCATCACTTAAAAAGTAAAGAAATATTTTTGTGACCAAAATTTGAATATTAAGGGTAATGCAAAACTTCCAACATTAGCCCTAGGATGATATAAGTCTTCAAGCAAGGATTATATATATATATATATATATATATATATATATATATATATATATATATATATATATATATATAATGTCCTCTATAAAATTTGCTACTAAAGTTGCCACTTGCGATGAAAGGTTGATCAACAAATTGTAGCATGATCAAAACTTTTCTCCAAGATCTGATGTGAAAGATCAGTAATGCATTTTCTTCACAATTTTAGCCATCTCTTATGAAACCTGGATCTATTAATAATGACCAACAGGGATTCCAGGCACATCATTCACCAAGAAGCTTGTGGTTCAATGATAAAGGATTTTGATGTGCCTTTGACTTTCAGCTGTTGATTCAGGAAGTTCATAAAGTGAAAACAGGGTTACTTGGTCGTTTACTAGAAGTGAAAACTAATCAAGGATGGTAAGATAGAGAGGTACATCAAGATTTTTGTGTGATTGTCATATACTCCTAAAGCCAACCATGCTTTATTTTTATACAAAACATTACTGTAGCCAACACAAGGAAATTGATGTGGATATATGCGACTGCTACAAAAGATACAACAAAAAATATCTTTATCTATGAACCATTTAGTGTGACTCTGAAAGAGAATACTACAAGGAAATTTATTTAAGATGGTATAAACGTATTCAAAGGAGACTTACGCCAGCTAGAACAAATGAGAAGATAAGAATTAGTGATGTAAGAGAGGTAAGGGATATTTGAAAGATCTGATTGAAAACAAAAAGAAAAAGATTTGACTAATCTTAACTAGGTATACTACATTCTATAGAGCTTAATAATAGGAAAAAGTCCATGTAGTCAACCTGAATAGTTCGAATCATGGATTAAATCTAGGTTCACAAATGATGCCAATCGATGGCCAGACTAGCATGGTTTTATTACCGATATATATATATATATATATATATATACCATTGGTACATGTTGAGACCACGTAAACCACACACACACACACACAAGAGAGGAGGAGCAGGTGGCCATATGTGATAGTAGCAGGAGGCGATGACACAGATGAGAAGGTAGCAATGTGGCCTATCAGTAGGAGTGAGTCTGAGTGACATCAGGTGGCGTGCCAACAGGACAAAGTAGCGACAACACAAACAAGGCAAAGGACGGGGAGAGAGATGTTGACCTAAAGAGAGAGAAGAGAGACAAGAAGAAGAAAAAAGTAATATGCACACACTTTAGGCCATAACCTAGACATGTTGCACATGAGCTAGTTGCATATAGAGCTTCACCAGAACCACTATGAGTCAATTATTATGACCAAGATGATGCTAACAGCAAGAAAGCTAAAAAAACACCAAAAAAAAAACAAGATTCCCAAATTTGATAGAAGATCCAAACTCAAACCCTTCACCAGTTGATTATCTGACAAGGACCAACATTTCGATTAATAAAATAATGTCTTAACAGTAAGAGGTTCAGTTAGGTTACTCTGGTCATGATCTGTGTGACTAGCTAATTTTAGCATCCTAAGAAGTCCAATAGATGCCCTATCCTGGACTGCCTTTGGGAACCTATCATGGATTACATTTATTGTTTGTCTAAAGAAGCAATAACTTGATCAATACTGACATGAAACTTTCCAAGATCAAAGACAGAATACTTTACGTTCCAATATTTTGGATGTTCTTTCTAAATTCTAAATATAATAAATATGTAAATAAAATTCAGTAGAGAAAATTTCAAGTCAGTCTACCAATTTAGGAACAACTATCTTGCTACATGGAAGAAGTATCATGTCCAAGATCAACAAATATGAAAAATAAAGACATGATAGTTAATGGTTCACAAAGATTACATACCTTACTAGGCTGCTTTTGCTTCAGCTTCACCTTCACATCGATACCATGATCAATAATTGACTGAAGGACAATCTGAATCTTCCCTTCAATTCTTTCTCCTTTTCTTGGTGTGTAGACCACATTGTGAATATCATCTTCAATCGCACGCTGGGCCAAAACTGCTCCCACAGCAGCACAAGCAGTTGCATCTTTCCTAGACTTTAAGTCAAACTTCATGTCCTTCGAAATTGAGTGTGCCACAGCGACCACCTTGCTAGTGATCCTATGAACAATGCAAGCACGAACTGACCCTTTGGAAACATAGATATCTAGACAGAATGGCAGATGGTATGGATCAGTGAGCTGGTTAATTGTCGGCATTCTCACCCTTTTTTCCTCCATTATGGTTGATTTTGTACATGAACGCACATTTTTTATTACTGGACTCTCCACCCCTTGTTCCGAAGCTTTAGCCACGTTTGACTTAATAACCTTTTGGTTCTTCTTCTTTTCTAGATCATTGAATTCTTTCTTTGTATCAGCTTCTATTGTTTTTTCATGTCTCTTTTTAGCTGATTTCTTGCGATGGAACTGTATATTATACTCTTCGAATTCTTTGGAACCCTTGTCGAGCTTGTAGAACAATTTTTTACGCAGCCTCAAATCCTCAATCTCATCAAAATCCAGGGATTCCTCTGCTAATGCAGCCGAAGAACAAGAACAAGTTTCATCATTGATCTTCAATGAGGATGATAAAGCCTCTGTGCCCCCATCGATTTGATCCAAAAACTTGTAAGAAACCCCCACAAAATCAGTGTCAACAACCTCGATCCGGAAACCATTATCCAAGTTATCTCTGCCAGAAGGGATAATCTGCGGCAACTTGGTCATATGAGAATGATCTGAGGCCGGTGAACTTGCGCAGCGAGATCTTTCCAAGGATTGAAATGCTCCCACCGCCCAGAAGCCACAGGTCTTTAGAGTGAATGATGGATTTGCTGAAAACTTTTGTCTCAGTGATAGGAGGAACATGGCCATCTGTGTTACAAGATTACTTCAATCCGGAATCACGTCGTGGCTGGGAGAAGATTATCCATCTCGTGGTTTAAGTGGGAGGGAATCTGAGGAAGCTCGCCTGTCTTTTCCTGCTCCTCCAGAGAAAAATTTCCTCGGTGCCCACCAGCGTAGTCAAAAGGCGCCCAAAAGAAGCGAGGTGCTCTGAATATTATAATTTAAGAATTACATATCATGATTGATAGAAATGAGCTAAAACAAAAATAACATCAAAGTTGCATTCAGCACCAATGACAAATACAAACAGATACAAAATTCAGATGTTATATTAATAAAAAAAATATTAATAATAGAAGGAGGAGGAGGATGAGAGGAGCTTGGTTCGGTGGCCGTCGGTGGCCATGGGAGACTCCCAATTTTTGGTCAATTGTTCGTTTCATTAGGATAGGGTGCTGTAGTACTGCTGTCGGTGGTAGTGTGGGTCGCTGTTGTTAGGTCGTTGGGAAAGAGGAGGATAGGGGGCTGTGGTCCGGGAGCTGGAGCAGGGAGGGCCGCGATGAAGAAGAGAGAGGGGGGACGGGATGGGAGCTGCGACAAAGGGGAGAAGGAGAAAGAGAAATCGGGGAACGGGGGCTGCGATGAAGGAGGGGGGGAAGAGGGAGGGGGAGGGTGATGTCGGGGAAAGGGGGAACAGAGAAGAGGGATCAGGGAACGGGGGCTGCGATGAACGGGGGACGAGGGAGGAGGCAGTGTACGACGGCGAAGGAGGAAGAGAAAAAGAGAGATGCCGGGAGGGGAAGAAGCCGCCGTCGTCGCCACCGTTTTCCGATGGACAGGAAGAAGCAGCAGCAGCCGCCGTTCGCCGAGGAAAACACCGCAGCGACACTGCCGATGGAGACGAAGTCAGCCGCCGCTAACCGAAACGCTAGGAGAAAGTGACAGTTCTGCGTTTAGGGGTTAAGGGGTAGACCATCTGTTCAATCGAACCTCGATATCAAATTGGCTCGACTCAGACTCGTCCGGCCTGAGTTGAATCAGACGGGCGCCCAGCACTAAACTCCGTTCCTTCGCGGCGGTATGGCACCAAAGGGAAAGCAGGCCTACAGACCGAGGGCGAGAGGGACCTTTCGGTTCGACCCGCCGGTTCAAGACGGTTTACCTTTGAATAATAAACTATTTGGTCCGATCAGGTCGTTCGGTCCGGTTTTAGACGGAATGATTTGTGTGGCAAAATTGTCGAACTGAAATCATATTTATTATCCTGTACATCACTTGATACAATAAATAATAATTAAATATTTTAAATAATATTTAATTAGTCAGCATCGAGTAGATATGAGTCATCCATCAGATCACTAATATGTATCTATTTGCATTAATTATTATGAATTACTATGTGAAATGTTGTTATCATAACCATAATAGTACATTATTAAAAAAAAATTATTGGATTGAAAATAATAATCATATCATTATTTCAACATTGGAATCACATGAAAATCTCTAAATGATTAATCAAAGGTTTTCTTCCCATTAATATCCATCCAAAAAGTTTTAATATAGATGTTAGTAGTGGTCCAGCTACTTGACACCATGATAATTTAGACTGATGGGCCAACACATACTAATTAATGCACCATCCCATGCCCTAAATGACAAGTGGAAATAGGTTCTATATTTTACATCTATGGAGATGGTATTAAGTTGCTTTCAGTGTTTTTAATGTTGACCATAAAGCTTGGTGAGAGGATTAACTCATGCATACAGGTAGTTATTGTGATGCATCTTTTGACAGGGCTTTTCATTGGTCTCAATCTTCAGAAAAATGATGCCAAAATGGCTAACAGTGTATACAATGGATTTGATCGAGCCCTCCCTCTTCCTTGCATCACCCACCGTTAGAGCAGGTCCGTGGAAGGAAAGCAACATGGGTTCGCTTGATAGTCCCATGTTTATTTGGCCATAGTGCATGGTGGTGGTGGTGGTGGATTCTCTCGGGCATTCAGTATGCTGCTACCCCTCGTTGTCCACTTACACCACCCCATCCACCAATTAGTTCTTTGCAAGCCCGGAGGAGTTCTTTTGATTTGTTTATATGCGTGTTTATGGCGACTTCCTTCCCCACTTTGTAAGGGCGTCAACTCTCTCGTCTCCCCTCTCGTTTGCCACAAGAGGAGTGACAAAGATATGGAAGGGGATAAGCACGAGGTAATGGAAGGGGAGGAGGCAAGGGTGACTGATGTGAGCCTCAAAGAGCTCTCCAAGAAGCTTGAGGAGTTTGCCAGGGTAAGGGACTGGGAGCAGTACCACAGCCCGAGGAATCTGCTGCTTGCCATGGTAATACTCTGTCTTGCTCCTCTTGACTGCTCATAAATATTTGGTTGCCTCTCTTTGTTTCCTTACCTTTCAGTTAAGTTCTTCTCTTATGATTTTAATCAAAGGATAACAACCTGGATAATGGCTGTTGTTTCTTGTGATTAATGTGGAAGCTTGGAGAATGCACTTTTATTAAGTAGAATATCTTACAATATTTATGTGTACATAAGTAAAAAAACAATGTTTTCCTTGGTACATTGATTGAGTTAGCATCACTAATTGTGGGGCTTCTTTTTCCTTGTATCTATTTGAATTTTAGAAGAGAACCAGTTTAGGTTTTTTCTTGCCCTATAGCTATATGATAAATGATTCAAAAGAAAAAACCTCATTCTTCTTTCGTTTTCTTCGGAAGAATTTTCTCTACAGCCTTCCGATATGATCGATTCATTTTAAGAAAATTCATCTTAGATTTTCTGGTGAATATTTTCCCTTATGTTCTTCTTTCGGTTTATGCACTTCTATATTTAATCATACCAGCTCAATGATGAACCTAATGTCAAAGTATGGACATTCCTATTAAGATTTCTATGCACTTGAATGTTCTAATATGTTCAGACACCTATCACATTAGACGAGGAAAAAGTCAGTGAATTGAGTACTTTAACTAGGGGCTAGTTGAGCAAGTGATCCCATATTGGTCTCCTATGCATGTTCAGCAAAGCAAGAACCAACCAGAAGTACAAGGTGTCAGTCAGCATTTCCTCAAATTTGTGAACTCTAAGATTCTAATATGTAATTTATGTTTTTGCTTGTAAGCTGTTGATTCATTGTCATCCATGACTTGCCTCAAGTACTTCAAGCATGGATCACCCAATCATAATATACCATAAACTTGTGAGGAATGAGTTCTGATGTGTGGAAAAAAACAAATTGTTAAGTACTTGTTCTCTATTAGTAAAAACTAAAAATCTGGATCGCACAAGAACTTGTCAGACTGTAAAGCTATATATGAACAAGCTAAGCTGGTCCATGCAAGAAAAGTGGGGTTATTATGCTCATCACATGTGTTGTTCTTCTATTTCTAGGCTTTCCTGAGTCGTGCAGAGAAGTAGGATTATTCTGTTATGACTTGTTGAGACAATTAGATGTACAGTTCAGAGAAAGCTTCTTTCTCTGATTCCTTCTATGTTTGTCTCTCTTAGTGGGCAACACATTAACAAGGAAGGAAACCTTATTCTGGACTTTGCTCTGAAGAAGGAAGATTGGATAACCCCTCACTGGTATCCTTAACAGTAGCAAGGGGACCATGTGGACATTAGTACAAGTGTGTGACAATTCTGATGCCACTGAATACTTTTCTTATGACTTGCATGTGAATCTCGCAATGTTTTGATCTGGCAGATGGTTGTTGTGATGATGGTGGCTTTGGTGGCTCTGTCAAGCTACCACCAGAAACAGGAAAGCGTTGTGTAAGAAATGGAGCTTCACTCTCCTCTGGCACACTACAATAACAGTTAAAGTAGCAGTCACTGATTTGTATTCATTTTTCATGATGTTTTTTATGGATCTAATATATCATGACCGATTTCTCAAAAAGATTCTTCCACAGTGAGTTCAGATAGCTGAGATTTTAGGTAAGTGTTTGTAGAATCTTGGTACAGATAATGAGTCACACATTCCATTGATATAGATAAATCTGAGATCAACAAATACTCTCGAGTCTCTTTTTTCAATCCTTGTTATTTTTCTTGATGTTGGATATTTTGTCCGTATATAATTTCTCTTTGTTTCCCTAGTCTCTAACGAGTTACAACTAGAGTTAGAAACTCAAATGTTTGATGATTCCGTAGTATATGATTGGGTTGTTAAAACTTATGGATAGTCGCAGCATAATCAACTCTTAGGATCAATATTCAGGTAATGCACTAATTATTTTCATATGTAATGCCGATATTATTTTACGTAAGTCAGCTAAGTTGCTGAGATCCAAAATCTATCCGAAGACAATTCATGAACAACTACATCATCAACAAAGCACAATCTGGCAGATCTTTTACTGCCATCTTGCTCCTTTGTATGCTGCCTTTATCCATGTCACTGAAGCTACTTGTTTGAATGTTAGAGACTATACTGCTCTGTTTTGGTCTTGTTCTAGTGTACAGTTTGACTTCCTGTAATCTGAAACTTCTGTTTCATATAATGCCGTAAGAATCTTAAAATTTTAATGCCTAGTAGTCAAAGTTTACAACGTCTTAATCAAGGTTCATCATACCGTACCGTATCGACATTTTGACTCGGGCTCGGTACGGTATGGTACCGGTGTATCGGGCGGTACATCAGGGGTGTACCGAGCGGTACACCCTGACGTACCGAATAATTTTATACTTTTTTCATACTGTAGCAGTGCTACAGTATAGTACTGTAACATTGTAGCACTGTAACGGTACCGAGCGGTCCGCGTACCGGTAATCTATCGGATCGGTACGTACCGCCCGATACGGACGGTACACTTCGGTATGGCAGACCTTGGTTTTAATCATATTTTATTTATATACATAATTTGGAAGAAGAAAGTGAACTCATTTCTCTCTTCAACAGGTTGGTGAAGTGGGGGAGCTTGCAGAAATATTCATGTGGAGGGGAGAAGTGGCAAAGGGGCTACCTAACTGGAAGGATTCAGAGAAGGAGCATGTAGGGGAGGAGCTTTCAGATGTCCTGTTATACCTAATAAGACTCTCTGATGTATGTGGTATTGACCTTGGAGATGCAGCCACCAAGAAGATAGTCAAGAATGCAATTAAGTACCCTCCAAAGGCTACATGAACACTGGATTTGCTGCCATCCTGTGCTTGGTTGGTTGCACAACTTCTGTTTCTGTTTGGTATCAGGAGATCAATAATATGTTCTGACACTTGCAGCATGTGGAAGTATGGTGATGGCAGAATGTGACATACTTTTTCTTGGTCTGGCAGAATGCAAAAGGGGAAGCTTTAATATCCAACATATTTACCTCCTTCGAAAGAGAAGAAAAGAACCAAGTATCTCTCTTGAGTGTCACAACACACTCAATTGTGTTGTCAACTGGTACAATCCAAAAGGAGAATTTTATTATATGTCAATAGTTCAATTGATAATATAAGAACAGCCATAAGTCTAAAGTTTTGGCACTACATCCTACAGATTAATCACAAAGTTAGCTACCCAAGGATTGTTTAGCCATAGGTTAAGACTTGTAGCACAAGCTCTTGATTTTTATTTTTTATTTTTAAAAATAAGTGTCGAAGATAAAAAATTATGTCAGATAAGAAATTAGATCCTTAATTTTTTGGTGAGTCTGATCCATCATCATCATCCGCTCAATATTTAAAGTGTTTAAGGTGTCGAGCCTACAAATTTTTTCCCACTTGTTATATATTTTTTGAGATTATAAATATATAATTTAGATTAAGTATCCATCCATAAAATGGATGTAATAAATTGTATTTTTCATCTCTTTGAACTTTGGTGAAACATGGTTTGACAAATTAATTTATCATTTTCAACACATAATTAATCTCCAAGGAATAATCTTATATGATCCATGTTTCCTCCATAATTAGTGGCTTTTTTTATAAATGAAATTTCATTTGTCAGGCCTCAATGCATCTTGTTCTTTATTGAATAACTAAACATTATGTTTAATACATGTCAAGAAAATATAAATTTATTAGGATGTCTGCTTCACATGTTGTAAAGAACAAAGCACAAGCCACAAATTTTCACTTAGTAATTTGCATTTTTTTTAACTGTTTAAGTAATATTTAATAATTAATAGGCTTTATGTTCATATAATGAGGTCGACACATTACATGCTATAATATATTTTTTTATTTTTTATTTATAAAAGTAAAGTATATATGATATCTAAATTCACAACATGTGTAATGGATGTGAACATTTAAATATATACTACATGTATGTGATGTTTAATTTTTGAATGTATGCATTAATTTGGTCTACCTTGTGAGAGATAATAAGACCATTCACTTAGTGAGATAATTAATATCATAACATTTAGTGAGACAACCTTCATCTAATTATATTCCAAAAATTATATTAAATATTGGTGTTTTTTCTGTACATACACCTCGAAAAAGTATAAATTTGAGGAATATATATATATATATATATATATATATATATATATATATATATCTCAAAATCTTAATTATATAAACATCCCTGCAAAAATACCTCTTCTCATATTTCCTGTACAAATATGGACATTATCAACCTAACCAATAACAAATCGAGTACATTTTAGATCATGTCCTATCTGTCCCGTTTCTAAAACTTCTTTGGGTCTATCTACTTGCCATTGATCCATATCATTTTAAGTATACCTTCGTAATTATAATGATCATATATATAATATAAATATTTAAGTACATAATCCCTATTTTCTTAACATAGTAGTATTATAATTTCGGATTTGGGACCTGTTGTGGTCGACCCGGTTCGGCCGCTGATCCGGTTCAGAGTGCTCTAAACCGCGCCGAAACAATCAGACATTTTATCCCATTAGGGTTTCAGTATTGGGGCGATTTCGCGCCGTCAACCGGACCAATCCGATGGAGTGGGAGAGGTATGTGTTAGGGTTTTAATTCCTATATATACGCCAGGAAGAGGCCATATTTCCGAACGCCTCCCAGCCTCCGTAAGGGGGGAGGCGGGAGGATGTCTGAGATCTCGGGCGAACGGATCTTTGAGAACAGTATTGTGGTGGGTTAGATCATTATCATCTGATCTCTTCAGAATTTTCGTTTTGTTGTAATACCTTCTTTTATGGCTTCCTTATTCCTCATCGTTCAGGCTACGTCTTTGAGATAACCCACCCACCAATCCTGCCAATCGCAAGTCCCTACGAGTTCCTTTTTTTTCTTTAGTGATTGATTTACTTTATAGCATTCAAAGAATCATCTTATGCTTTTGGAGTAATTCCTGTTGGGGATTTGAGGTTTTCAACTATAAGCTTAATCAAACAAAAATCATTCTGTGAAACTTGAGTCTGTTTGCCGCATAGGGGACAGATAGGCGTTGTTGTTGCAGAACAAACTGAGTAAATTAGTTATAGTTTTGAGAAGATGAATACTGGAAATGGAGACACTTGAGGTGGCATGGTTCCAAAAAAAGGTCCTAATGGTATGTACTGATCATTATTTACTGCTCTGACCAAGGATCAGTATCAGACCATATATTGGTATTCATATTTTTATTATGTTTATCAGTTATACCAGGCAGGACAAGTTGATGTACAGTTTGATTTGTTGAAAACCAGTATTGAACCTGTATGTAACATATTGTGTGGAAGAATGCTCTTAGTTATCTTTTGTCTGTCAAAAATCTCCATGGTAGCTTTCTCAATTTACTTTTGAATGCTGCATAAACCAAGCTTTTAATCACTGCAAGTTCTGTTGTAGCATTCAAGTTCCCATGATTTGCTGCTTTCTATTGGAAGCACAAACTCAAATTCTTGAAGTTTAGGTTTTAGATTATTGTTAGACAGTTTTGCTTGTCATTATTGAGTTTGATGATAAGTTACCTTTGTATTTCTGCTGACCAATTGTTTGATATCTTTTGATTTCTGAAAAAAACTACAGTTTTTTTAGTATTTATGTTCTTTAAATCTTAGCTTAATGGATATGTTTGTGCATGTGTGTCTTCCCTAAAGAAAAAGCAGTTGCCTGCTTTTGCTCATAAACAGGCATCTCGTAAACTTTAGGAATATCAATCATGCTCATTGTTATTGGGTGAACCTTTGTATATTTTGTTCATGACATAAGGTTCAGTAAATGATGAGACATTGGATGTTCAATCATTTTATTTTTTTAAATTATGCCATGTAGATTTTGTTAATGCACACAAACATTTTTAAAACTGTAGGGCTGCTTTCCCTTTGATGCCTTACTGCTGCAGAGGAAGGAATAGAGTAGTAGTAATGATGGGTGGGACTGAGGGATATTCTTCGCTGGAGGAGCAGGAAAAGATGGTGAGCTTCCCCAGATTGCCTCCCACTTAGACCACACGATGGATCATCTTCTCCCAGCCACAACGTGATTCCGGATTGAAGTAATCTTGCGACACCGATGGCCATGTTCCTCCTATCACTGAGACAAAAGTTTACAGCAAATCCATCATTCACTCTAAAGATCTGTAGCTTCTGGGCAGCATGGGCATTATAATCCTTGGAAAGAGCTTGCAACGCATGTTCACTGGCCTCGGATCATTCTCAGATGATCAAGTTGCTGCAGATTATACCTTCTGGTAGAGATAACTTGGAAAACAGTTTCTGGATCGAGGTTGTTGACACTGATCTCTTGGGGGTTTCTTTGAACCCCATGAAGTCATTGGATCTTATTGATGGGGGCAAGGAAACTTTATCATCCTCTTTGGATATCAGTGATGAGACATGTTCTTGTTCTTCTGCTGCATTAGCAGAGGAATCCTTGGATTTTGATGAGATTGAGGATTTGAGGCTGCATAAGAAATTGTTCTACAATCTCAACAAGGGTTATAAAGAATTCAAAGGGTATAATATACAGTTCCATCGCAAGAAATCAGCTAAAAAGAGTCATGAAAGGACAACAAAACTGATATAAAGGACTTCAATGATGTAGAAGAAACAAAAAGTCATTAAGCCAAACGTGGCTAAACTTTGGAACAAGGGGTGTAAGTCCAGTAATAAAAAATGTACATTTAGGTACTAAATCAATCGTAATGGAGGAAAAAGGGGGAGAGAATGCTGACAATTAACCAGCTCACGGATCCATACCTTCTACCATTCTGTCTTGATAATCTATGTTTCCAAAATGGTCAGTTCGAGCCTTTTCTTTTCATAGGATCATGAGCAAGGTGATCGCTGTGGCACACTCTATCTTGAAGGACAAAGTTTGACTTGAAGTCAAGGAAAGATGCATCTGCTTGTACTGCTGTTGGAATAGTTTTGGCCCAACGTGCAATTGAAGATGATATTCACAATGTGGTCTGCACACCAAGAAAAGGGGAATGAATTGAAGGGAAGATTCAGATTGTCTTCAATTGATCATTGATCATGGTATTGGTGTGAAGGTGAAGCTGAAGCAAAGCGGCCTACCAAGGTATGTATTCTTTGTGGACCTTCAATTAAGGTTGTCTACAGATATCTTTTTAAGTGTTGTCCAGTTCTGTTTTAGCATTCAAGTTCCCATGATTTGCAGCCCTCTTTTGAAGGTATAGACTTAAAATCTGTAAGATTGGGTTTTAGGTTATTGTTAGACAGTCCTGCTTGTTACTGTCTCATAAATGTAATGTTAAATCATATAGTGAGCATTATTGGATCTGATGATAAGTGACCTTATAGTGCATCTTCTAAAGTTTAGGAATATCAATCATGCTCATTGTTCTTGGGTGAACCTTCATACAACCTTATATGGACTGCATATGGTTTTGATACTTGCAGGTCGGTGGGCACTTGCTAGACGAGCTGGATTTGTATCTTGTCTCTTTTGTGCCATATATTTGCATGGGACCTTAATTGTTTGCTTGAGCATTTTGTTCCACGATCACATTCAAACTGCCGAAGTAAGAGATGTTTGGCAGTCGTAGAAGTTCATCAATAGAATAGAATAGGATGTATGAATGGTTACCTAAAGAAAAGCAGGGGTATGTTTTTTACCATAAACAAGCCTCTCGTAGACTTTAGGGAAATTATATTCATTGTTATTGGGTGAACCTTTGTACATTGTTAATGGCAGATGGTTCAGTAAACAATGAAACATTGTCCATTAATGATGCAGTGCATGTCATAATAGCAAATTAAGATGTGTTTTTATATTTCTTTATGTATCTTTTGACTTTTTAATTATATATGGATTTTTTCTTCTTATTTCAAGTGTTTTAGTATTTATAAAACGAAATATTCATACAAAATGATAGGTTGGTTAGTAAAATGTTGGATTTTGTGATTATAAGGAAATTG